ATTAATTTATTTATTATTTATATTTTTATTGTCTAAACTTTTACATATGTCTTCTTTTCCCCCATTGACCCCCAAACCATGCCCACTCCGGGAAAGCCCTACTGCCCCAGCATCTATGTCCAATGGTTATGCTAATATGCATGCATACACGTCCTTTGGTTGCTCTCTAACACCCCCACTCCCCTACCAATTGTCTCTGAACCTATTCTTGTTCATCAAATTATGTTGATCATTATATCCCACATATGAGTGAGATCATGTGATATTTATATTTCTCCAACTGGCTTTTTTCTCATAGTATAATGCTCTCCAGCTCCATCCATGCTGTTGCAAATGGTAAAAGTTCCTTCTTTTTTATAGCGGCATAGTATTCCATTGTGTAGATGTACCACAGTTTTTTAATCCACTCATCTGCTGATGGGCACTTAGGTTGTTTCCAAATCTTAGCTATTGTAAATTGTGCTGCTATGAACATAGGGGTGCATATATCCTTTCTGATTGTGTTTCTGGTTTCTTGGGATATATTCCTAGATGTGGGATAACTGGGTCAAATGGGAGTTCCATTTTTAACTTTTTGAGGATACTCCATACTGTTCTCTACAGTGGCTGCACCAGTCTGCATTCCCACCAGTAGTGCAGAGGGGTTCCTTTTCATCCACATCCTAGCCAGTACTTATCATTTGTTGATTTGTTTATGATAGCCATTCTGTCAGGTGTGAGATGGTATCTCACTGTTGTTTTGATTTGCATCTCTCAGATTATTAGTGACGTTGAGCATGTTTTCATATGTCTCTCAGCCTTATGTATGTCCTCTTTCAAAAAGTGTCTATTTAGGTCCTTTGCCCATTTATTGATTGGATTGTTTATCTTCCTTTGTTAAATTGTATGAGATCTCTGTAAATTTTGGAGATTAAACCCTTATCGGAAATATCATCGGCAATATGTTCTCCCATGCAGTGGGCTTTCTTGTTGTTTTGTTGATGGTTTCTTTTGCTAAGCAGAAGCTTTTTATTTTGATGTAGTCTCATTTGTTTATTTTCTCCTTAGTCTCCATTGCCCTAGGAGCTGTGTCTGTAAATATATTGCTACAACATATGTCTGCTATTTTGCTGCCTATGGACTCTTGTAGGATTTTTATGGTTTCCCATCTTACATTTAAGTACTTTAGCCATTTTGAGTTTGTTTTTCTGTATGGTGTAAGGTGGTGATATAGTTTTATTTTTTTGCATGTATCTGACCAAATGTCCCAGCACCATTTAATGAAGAGACTGTCTTGACTCCTTTGTATGCTCTTGCCTCCTTTGTCAAATATTAATTGAGCATAATGCCCTGGGTCGATTTCTGGATTTTCTGTTCTGTTTCATTGCTCTATATGTCTGTTCTTGTGCCAATACCAGGCTTTTTGGAGAACTGTGGCCTGGTAATATAGCTTTATATCCAGTATTGTGATCCCTGCAAATTTGTTCTTCTTTTTCAGTGTTGCTGTGGTTATTCAGGGTCTTATTTTATCCCAGATAAATTTTTGGAGAGTTTTTTCTAGATCTTTGAAATATGCTGTTGGTATTTTAATGGGGATTGCATTGAATCTGTAGATTGCTTTGGGTAGTATGGACATTTTAGTGATGTTCATTCTACCAATCCATGAACATGGTATGTTCTCCCATTTGTTTATGTCTTCCTCTCTTTTTTCAATGTCCTGTTGTTTTTCTGAGTACAGGTCTTTTATGTCCTTAGTTAAGTTTATTCCTTGGTATCTTAATTTTTTTTGGTGCAATGGTAAATGGGATTGTTTTTGTTGCTGCTTCTGTTTCTGTGAGTTCATTATCCTATATAATAATGAGGTAATATGCAAATTAACCCACACCATCACATGATGGCTGCCTATGATCAGGCTGACAGGGGAGTTACTGTGAGACGACCAAATGACTGAACAAGCAGGATGTGTGGGGCAACCAGGCCAGCGGGGGTGCTGTGAGTGCTGACTGGGCCAGCAGAGGGTGCAGTTGGGGGTGACTAGAGAGCGGGGGGAGCAGTTGGAGGCGACCAGGCCAGCAGGGGTGGGCTGTTAGGGTTGACCATGCCAGCAGAGGGGGGCAGTAAGAGGCAACCAGGCTGGCAGGGAGGGTGCAGTTTGGGGCGACCAGGCTGGGCAGTTGGTGGTGATTAGGCTGGCAGGGGGGGTAGTGAGGAGTGACTAGGCTGGCGGGGCAGTTTGGGGTGACCAGGCCACCGGAGGGGGTGTTGGGGGCAACCAGGCCAGAAGAGGGGAGCAGTTGGGAGTGACCAGGCTGGCAGCGCAGGGCATTTAGGGGTGACCAGGCTGGTGGGGGAGGGGGCAGTTAGGTGCAACCAGGCCGGCAGGGAGGTGGTAGTTGGGGGTGACCTGGCCAGCTGTGGGGGGCAGCTATGGGCAATCAGGTCAGCACACAGTCATTGAGGGGCAATCAGGCCAGCAGGAGGGGAGCAGTTAGGGGTGACCAGGCAGGCAGGCAGGTGAGAAATTAGGAGCCAGCTGTCCATTATTGTGAGAGGGATATCCAACTTCTGGGGATCGGGCCTAAACCGGCAGTCAGCCATCCCCCAAGGGGTCCCATATTGGAGAGGGTGCAGGCTGGGCTGAGGGGAACCCCTCCCCCCTGTGCGCGAATTTCATGCACCGAACCTTTGGTTGGTGTATAAAAAGGCCATAGATTTCTGGGTGTTAATTTTGTATCCTGCTACATTTCCAAATTCATTTATTTGGTCTAATAGTTTTTTGAAGGAGTCTTTGGGGTTTTCTATGTACAGTATCATGTCATCTTCGAATAAGGACATTTTTACTTCTTCTTCTCCAATTTAGATGCTTTTTATTTCTTCTTGTTGTCTGACCACAATGGCTATCTCTTCCAGTACTATATCAAACAGCAGTGGTGAAAGTGGACATCCCTGTCTTATTCCTATTCTTAGAAGAAATGAGTTAGTTTTTGCCCATTGAGTATGATATTGGTTCTAGGTTTGTCATATAAGGCTTTTATTATGTTGAGTTATGATCCCTCTATTTCCAGTTGAGAGTTTTTATCAAGAAAGGGTGTTGGATTTTGTCAAATGCTTTTTCTGCCTCAATTGATTTGATTATGTGATTTTTGTCTCTGTTTGTTTATGTGATGTATCACATTTATTGATTTGCAGATATTGTACCAGCCTTGTATCCCTGTAATAAATCCCACTTGGTCATGGTTTATGATCTTTCTAATGTAATGCTGAATCCGATTTGCTAGAATTTTATTGAGGATTTTAGCATCTATGTTCATCAAGGATATTCGCCTGTATTTCTCTTTTTTGTCGTGTCTTTATCTGGTTTTGGGATTCGGGTAATGCTTGCTTCATAGAAAGAGCTTGGAAGTGTTGTTGTAACGTAACCTGCGAATCACAGAAGGACGCCTCAAGAAGTCGAATTAAAGAGTCACATTTATTGCAATCCGGGACTATGAGGGATCATTCCCAAATCTCATAGTGATAAGATGGTCGTAACTTCAGGTTTATATAGGCAAAAATTACAAAGGTATTGATTACATCTCAGGGTTTGGAATGAGGAACCTGGTTCACAAAAAAAGCAGTTTACAGAAGCAGAATTTAAGCATGTTTTGGGTCTCCGAATCACTGAGTTGACAGAAACACATCATCAGGACCGCTGGGTTGACAGGAACACATTATCTAGAGCCCT